AAAAATAAAAATTCTTATTTTGAAAGCAGAGGGAAGCTCTGATACCTCTGTGGACCAAAACCTAGCAGGTTTTCTTGTGGCTGTGGGCTGGTGCATGTGGGATGGCCCCAGACAGAGCTCTCCCAAGCATGGCCTGAACTCCCAAGCCATTCTCTCTTCCTGACTGTGCCTTTCAAACTGCCTTGAATATAAAGCAGTACAGAGCTTAAAAGTGTAAATCTTGATAGAACCTGGACTGTTTATGCCTTAGGAAGTGCTCATTTCAAAATGCAGGTGCTTTTGGAGAAACTGAAAATAATGAAATTCAGGAGTTACCAAAATCCAGGCCATAGATGTTGCAATGAAATACAATATCCCAGTCAATCACCAGACCTACAGCATTCCAGTTTGTTACCACTTCCAGAATAAAGTGATGTCCTTCTGCCTTCAGGTCAACTGGAAAAGGGCAAAGAAGCAGTGGCCAGTACTGTATTTGCTTGGTTCCCAGTGAATTTTGAGTATATCTAAGTTCTAGCACTTATGAGGATGAGAAAAACCCAGTGTTAATGTAGTTAAGTGCTGTACAAAACTCCCCACAAAGCCTATCAGCTTTAATCTCCATCTTCACTGTTATTACATTAATGATCTCCTTTGAATGAAGCCTCCAGCCTCTGTCATTTCTAGGTCTAGGGGTAAAAGGCAAGAAATTAATTTTGTACTTGTATTTGCTATTAACTGGCAGAGCAGCTGTAAGAAACAAAATGCATTTATTTGTAAGTACCACAGAATAAGACTAAATTGAAAGAATTCTCCCGTTAGCATTAAGATGGTGTTATAGAACAGCTGGAACATTAAGTGAACAACCTTGATAACCCAATTGTTCATTGATGCATAATTCACCTTTCTTCTACTGAAAGAGTAATTTCTCAGGATATTAAACACTTGAGATTTTTGTGAAGCTGAGAATCAAATCAGAATGGACCAAATAATCTCTTGATCCGCATATTTTTTTAGTTGAATAAGGTGCTTTTCAGATTTATTATGGTAGATTGTATAACGTTACATTAATCAGAACTGGGGAAATAAGAACACAGAAATGCCAACTACTTGCCTGGGCACTCCCCAAATTTGAATTTGTTTTCATTCATCACTTTCTATTGAGTTGTTTTACAAGGCAGAAGCAAATTTCTGTACAGTCAAACATTCAGGGTCTCACCTTTCCAGGTTTCTATCAGCTGTGTTAAGGCTGTACTGACACCTCAGTTATTCTGGCAGGTGGAGGTGTTTCCTCTGTCCTAGTCCACTGTAGCTGTGTGACTTGCAAGGGTCAGCATTTCTCAAACATTTAACCTAACTGCATCCACCTGTGAGGGCTGTTGGCAGTATGTAAATTCAGCTTACTGAAAAAGTAGCAGAAGTGGCTGTGGAAAGAGTGCTTATAAAGTATCATGCTTTCAGCTTCTGCTGCTGTTTTGCCATTCTCATCAGACAGCTCTCATTGCTTTCTAGGAAGCTTTGATGGTAATCTCAGACAATTAATTCACACTTATAAAATGGGTGAGAGAGATGACATCTCTATACTGTGGGCTCTAAATTAAAAGCCCACGGGTTATTTTCCCCAGGTTAGGGCCATGACAGGTACATTACAATGATCTACCAACCCCAGTGAGAAAAAATGGAATGAGTTGCTAGTATCCCACTTATTGCATTGACTAATGCTTTTTGTAAATTTTCAGTGTCAAGCAAATAGGTTTTTGTCTGATACTTAGTTTATTATTTTCTCTTTTTTGGGGTACTTCTATCTTATCTAAAGCCTTTAAATTCACAAAACTGTACTTCTTGGAATATTTGAGATCACATGCATGCAATTTGACTTGTCTTGAAACCTTAGATGGATTTTGCTAGGCAGAAATGGTTATTATTACAGCTGGAGAGCATTGGAGAAGAGGAAAAGTGTTGCTCATTCCCTCATAAACAGGAAATAGACTACACCAGTCCTTAATGAGACGAATGAGAAAAAAATAGCTACAATGCTTCTCTGTGTGCTATCCATCACTGCAACTTTAGGTATGGGTAGTGAAGTTCTGCAGCACCTGCAAACTCTGTGAAGCCCCAGGCACCGCTCTTGTGTCAGAGCTGCCGGGGAGCCATTTCCAGCCCTGCAGCGGTGCCCCGAGCCGCACAGCTGGCTCGGTCCCTCAGCTGCCCGTGTGGGAGATCGATCGGAGCAGCTCTGCCCCAAACCGTGGCACCCCAGCCTGGGGGTACCTGCTGTGCCTGCCTGGTGCTGGCTGCTGAAATAACAGCTGAGCTGGGAGCAGCCAATGTAACTATTCCCAAGGACTTCACTTTACAACTACATTTGGGTTTAAATGTTTCCATCATTGGTTTATGTGTTTATTTCAGTCTGTGTTTTAATGAGGTTTGTGTAACTGGAAAATATATGCACGCTGTAATGCAAGCTTATTCTAGCAAACACAAAAGATGGAGGTGTTTGTGCTTTCTGAGGCGTGTTTGAGCAGCAGCCCTTTCCCCTGTCTCACACGTGGCACAGCTGCTGGAGCCCCTTCCAGCCTTCCAGCACCGAGAGCCTCCGGTACGGACCGGCCTCGGGGAATCTGAGCAGGGACCCGAGGGAACGGCCTGAAGCTGCCCCGAGGAGACTGAAACTGGGTATCGGGAAAAGGTTCCTCAGCCAGAGGGTGGCTGGGCACTGCAACAGTCTCCCCAGAACAGTGGTCATGGCAGCAGCCTGGCAGAGCTGAAGGAGCGTTTGGACAACGCTCTCGGGCACATGTAAATTTTTGGGAGGTAATTTGTAAATGCCGAGAGGGCTCGGGGTGTTCTGTGCAGGGCCAGGAGCCGCCGCCCCTTGCGAGTCCCGCCCGACACGTGATCCTGCCCGACCGCACGTCGGGAGCCCACGCCGCCTCCCGGGCAGGGCAGGCCGGGACCGGCCGGAGATCCCGGATTCCCCGGAGCCCCCCCGGGCGGGACGGGGCACGGGAGCCGCGGGCGGTGCGGTCCCGGCTCTGGTTCCCTCCCCCTGAGGCTTCGAGGGGCCGGGGCTGAAGGCACAAAAAGGCGACAAGGTCTTTCCTCTGATAGCTTTTATTTGCGGTGCGGAGCTCCGTCCGCGAACGAGCTGAATGCGCGTTACCAGCGTACACTTCAGGGCGTACATATAGACAGATAAATATATTTCAGTAGAGACAAAACATAACAGCAACAACATGTGCTATAAATACACATTTACATTTGTCATAAATATATACTTTTTTTATAAAAATAAAAGTATCACTAAAATATTTCTCTGTCTTCTGCAACTCACGCTGTGTTGGCACAGCCGTGTCCTGCCAAATTACCCGTGGCACAGGGGCTCTGGCAGCACTCCTGTCAAAGGAGCGAGGTCGGGCTCTTACACCCTTGAAACACCCCTATTTTGAAACCGAACGTCTTTTACTTTTGATCACTGTGAACACGGAATTTCATTAAAAATTTTGCTTTTTAATTTCTGCACCCCAGCACTACGTATACATTGGTGTACACCCACGGGGAAAGTGGAACAATTACCTTCTGAAAGTTCTCTTGGCCGGGGGTTGTGTACCCCGGGTCCTTCCAAGAGGCTTATTAAATCATAGTCACTTGTTACACTAATGTAATTACACCTAGTTTGTCAATCAAAATTTTCTCTCTTTTTATACTGAACAACCTATTCCACAGTATTGTGGTTAGAAACATGTTAGAAATATGTTTGGTTTCCATAAGTGCATAAAGATGTGTATTTTTAAACTTCATAAAATAACTTCATCTGCATAACATAAATAATTTTAAATCAGAACTTAAGAAAACCCATTTCCTGAAATCCTTGATAAATACAGCATGAGATCACACCACACAGGTGTAGGGAATTGTCTTAACTGAGAAGCAGTACAGTCCCTTGTGAAGCTCCTGCTGTTGGTAAGTTTGTAATGCCTGTGAATTTTTTTATCCATCTGTAATTTAACCAGAACCCTCCAATTTAAACAGACCTGAACTGAGCCTGAAGCTTCCTGCACAAAGTCAGGTACCTTGCAGATAGTGCTTTTAGCACAGGTAGTGGCAAAGGTAGACCATGTACACAAAAGACTTCTCTGCAGGGACTGAGGCCATCAAAGCTGCTCCCTTCAGACACTTAGGCTGAACAGTAAAACCAGATCAGTAAGATACAGGTACAGAGTGGTTCGCCAAATAAATAGGAAGTATGATCACTGGTCCTCAAGTAAAAATATATTGTCAGTATTTTCCACCACCAGCAGTTTCCAGAGCTGGAGAATGCAAAACACCTGTTACAGCAGCTGTAGACAACTAAGGGGCTCTTACTGATAAATTGGTATAAAGTATCAGGTGTGGGTGTAGAAGCTTCCTGAGTTCTCAGTGGCTGTGTTGAGCACAGTGAGCTACTGTTAAGATTCCAGACAAAAAAGTAAAATGAGAAACAGGTAATATTTGCAAATAACTATCTGTACTTATGTAGCTAGGATTACAAAATAAAGTATATATTTAATTTTAAGAAAATTAATAAATTATCAAATAACTATTCACAGTATTTTTATACACTTAAAATTTGACTACAATTTTAAACAAATAATTCAACAAAGAATATGTAGTGCTACATTTATGTTAGAAATGCAGAATGCTTTTGTAGTGAAATGATGCAATGAAAAATTACTGGGAATATTCTCAAGAAATTTTCATGATTTTAGTATAGGAAAAATTTAAAGCTTTATTTTGAACCATATATTCTTTTAGCAAAATTTTGGTGTCAGCAATAGTTTTCTTGGGTTTTGTTTATGCACTTTTAGATCTTACATTTTTAAGGTGCACTTTAAATCTATGTACTTTTAACTTAGATTAGATGTTAGGAGGAAGCTCTTTACTGTGAGAGCAGTGAGGCACTGGAGCAGATTGCCCAGGGAAGTTGTGGATGTCCCATCCCTGGAAGTTTTCAAGGCCAGGCTGGATGGGGCTTGGAGCAACATGGTCTGGTGGAAAGTGTCCCTGCCCATGGCAGGGAAGTGGGAACAAGATGATCTTGAAGATCCCTTCCAACCTAAGCCATTCTATGATAACTTCGGGGCAGCTTTTATGCTATATATTATTTATGTAATCTAAAACCAGATTTCATCTTTGATTTCAGCAACAGCTCACAGAGTAATAAAACATACATGTTTTTCAGTGAAATATAATACCTTTAAAAGAGTTAGCCTAGCTCTTAATGTCTGCAAATCATCACAGTTGATTTACTTCAACATAGCTACTTCTAATTGATTATCAGGCCCACTGTGCTTTCATATATGGGGTTGGGGATATCCTTTATCCAGCAGACTGCTTAAGTGCATGTATGCACCTCCAAAGAGGCAGTAAAATAATCATGGGCATATAGAATCTCCTGAATTTGTGTCTAGAGCTCTTAAATAGAAACATATCTGTGTCTCTAGGTTATTGCAATAAATCCATTCTGCTTTTAGGCTTCAGAGTGCTTAAACATGTGATTGTTTGGTGTTCAAAGGGAGAGAGAGCATCACTCTCCACAGGCAAGGAAGGAATCCCTGGGCAGGCCTCAAGTGTGTTCCAGCTTGTGCAGCACGGGATCTGCGCTGGAGTTGGGAATTGAGTGTCTTCAGTGAGTGAGTAAGTTGTGTTCTAACAATGATACTGAACACCTCTAAGAAAGGCAGCATATTTGACCTCACCAGAAAGTAACTGGAAATGTAAGTCCCTGGAAGGATTTATAGGGAATGAAAAAGATAATTAGAAAAACCTCAGGATAACATTCACATAAAATGGGAGTTACCAGACACTATATATTACCACTTTACTGGTTGAATTTACTGACTATTGCAGAATATGATACCCTACATCTGCTATTTAAAAATATAAAATATAAATCCCTCCAAGTGGGATGACCAAAGCTGATATGAGTACCAGTACTGGTATTTATAACCCTAAGCTGAAAACTTCCTGATATTGCAAATTTATCTCTTCATTCTAATTATTGCTCTTTGATTTTTTGTGGTTGTATTCACCCTCCTGCCAGTCACAGTGACTAAACTAATTCCAATGCAAACAGAAAAGATCTTAAGTAGGATTGAATAGTACTTATGTTTTGTGCTTTGCCACTCTGTCAGGCTGGATTTTACTCACTGAAAGAAAGAAATAATTAAGTCAATGTATCAGGGACAAAATTCTCCCAGTCCTCTGTGATGGGTCATGTCTCCAATATGCTGCTTTCAGAACAGGACTGTGCTTGAGACCAGTGCAAACCAGAATAAAAGCTAAATTATTTCTGCAGCATTTTCAAATTGGGGAAAACATGCAAACACTTGTGTTATGTTCCTAAACTCTGTGGAAATGCACAGGGGCCACTCTTTAAAAAATAATCAGTTTTTCTTATATAGTAAATAGACTGGTGGTATTAAATACTCTTCATGCAAAAGTTCAGAATATAATGGCATCAGCCTATTATTTACAGTGTTACTCTCAAAATTCCCAATAGGGGAAATTTCTTTTTTTCTTTACATGCAAATCTTGTAGTAGATGTGAATATTTTAGAGCTACTTGCAGGGGATATTAATTGGTGTTCCTTAGTATTTAATTTATGTCATATGCATATAACTGACTCAATTTTTTAGGTGATAAAATGGCACAAGTAATTATGGTTAGAAATGGTAGTACAACACATACTTTTATGACTTCCTCCTTCATTTCAGCCAGTGAGACCAAATCTTTTTTGCTGAGTCGTAAGCAGGAAATGGTAGATTTAGTACACAGAGCTATAAATGTTGGCAACAATGAGAAACAAATGACACTTTGGTTCTACACTACTATGTTACTAGTATTATCTTGCCTTTGAACAGCTATGTTGTGTTTCTTCCTGGAGTGGATTCAGGAGAGTAATTCCCACAGCCTGTTAGCGCTGGTGGTCACTCTGCAGCTGGGTGGCTGCATCTTGTTTAGCAGGTGGCTTTGCTGGAGTGCAAGTGCATTTGCTGCACAGATCTCTCATTGATAGGAGACTTTCTTCCACAGCTTTTGCAAACATGCCTGAAGAGGTTTCCTTACATTCCTTAAAGCTTGAGATGCAGAATAATAAATGCTCTGGCTGAGGGTTATAACATGCCCCATACCCATTGGGCACCACAGGCCCATAGCAGCAGAACATTTCCATGGTAGTAGGAACCTGGTTGCAGGGAGAAGGGAAAGAGTCATCACTGATTAATCAGGGCACCTAAAATCAGCTGCTTAGGAATTAGGAAAAAGAGAAAAAAATGCTACAAATTCTGGTAATGTGGTGAATCCAGCCTTGTGGAGTAGCACTGTCTTCAGAAGTCCAGACCTGGAGATGATTTACCTTGGAAAGCAAAAGCTGATCTCAGTATAAATCTTGTTGCTCTGTTTCTTTGCTATGGTTTAAAAACTGCTGTAATTTGAGGTGGCTATAATGCATTTCTTTGCTGAATTTATATAGGTATTTGAAAGTTAGAAGATTTGTTACTGATAGGAATTTTATGTAATCCTTGTACATAAAATGGATACGTAAAACTTCTTTAAGGTTTTTAATTTCTTAAGGTTATGTTAAATTTGTAATGTGAAGACTGCATTAAATTAGAGAAATTAGCACTGTCCATTTCCAATGATAGTTTATAATTTTGATGCTGCATAAAATACTTCAATGCAACTAGGCATTCTATTACACCCCAGTTTAATCATGGCATAATATGGCAGTGAAACATTTTCTTCTGCAGAAAATAAAAGGTGTTAGAAATCTATATGTTTCAGACTTTGTGTTCATGGGCCTTCTCAAACAACATTTGCCTTTTTAATGGTGCAGAACAGGCCATTAGTCCTGCTAATAGAGCCATAGAATTGTCAGATGAATTTGCTGTGCAACAGCCGAAGGCCATAAAGCTATTCAGAAGCACTCTTTGCTCATGGATAGTTTCTTGGAGAATTTATGTAGTAGCATGTTGGTTACACTCACTCATGTCTGAAAGCCTACAAACATTATGACAAGATCAAATTACTTATTAAGGTTTTATGCTGTAGCATGATATTGTAAGTCTCTTTTGTTGCATAGTCCCAATCTGTTGCAGTTGGGTTAATGTTTCAGTTAATGAATTCCTACATGGATTTCTTTTTTCATTAGGACTACAGAGATTTCTTTTTTCATTAATACTACATGCAATGAAACATTTAATTTTTAGGCTTTATGATGTAAAGTTGTTTCCTTATTCAGAACATTAAGTGTAGGAAGTATTGACTCTTAGAATACCTTTGTATGTGCAAATAACTGTAAATCTGTAAATGTCTGTATGTCTTTGGTTGCATGTCTGTGTGGGTTGCTGTTCTACAGAAGGCTCTCAAAGATCTTACACAAAGCAACTTTTAAGAGTAAAATTTCCTGTGGCTCTTGGCTTTCTGTTTCTCAGAGTGGCAGCCCTTGTGGTTTGTGGCCATACTGTCACTGGAGCTGTTATCTTAGGGCAAGGCAGAAAAGAAGGGGAATGGGAGTATATGTAGTTTGGAAACTGAGCCCTCAAGTGAATTTTACTAGTTTGTGTGCATTTCCAGAATTTCTGCAAAGGACTTTGCAATGTTGCCTTTGAAGTGATAACTGTGGTCAGTATTTACTGTGCTGATGAACCAAAACAGGATTGAACATATGGAGGAATTTCTGGACTTCTTGATGATACTGCTTTTGTTTGCTTGCCTTTTTTACATTATTTTCATTGTGAGCAACAAGGTCTGGCAGAACACAATTTAATTATGCTTTGCTTGGCAAGACCAGTGAACAGAAGACACTCACCTGGCTGGTTGAAAGGATGAATCGATTGCTGGTCAGATAAGTCTCATCTGTAAATATCTCTGGCAGCTCCTTGAGGTGCTCCCGTGCCACCTCTCTGAGCCCTAGCAGGTGATTGTCTATTGCCATTCCAGTGACAGCCTGTGGTAAGACAATAGCATTTAACTGAGTTTGGAGGCATTTGGACCATTGCTGCCTAGTGCTCTGGTCAGAGCTGATGAACTTGGTTTGAGTGATGTAAAGCCTGTAATGTTCAGTTATTTCTCTGAGAATGTACTTTGCTGAAGACCAGTAACTAGGAATTCATATGGTGCTTTGAAGATTTACAAATTAGGAAGGTGACAGTCTTGATGTGTTTTATGTGCTGATGTTATCTGTGTGTCCATTGCCTCTCAGAGCTGAGTATCATGGGCTGGGCTTCTAAAGATGCTGAGGGGAGCATATGGGACAGCAGAAATTTCTCAGCATGTTTTGGAATTTTCTGTGTCATTTGGGTTATGTTTCAATGTGGAGGGCTCCAAAACACCTCCAAACTGGAGCAAGTCTTTCATCACCTCGCTGCCTGCATCTCCCTCTGGCAGTTAAAGCATATGCCATTCCAAAGAATGTAGATCCAAGGATCTGATAAGTGTCTGCAACAGGCTGAACAGAATAACAGATAGATTTGCCAGTGACCTGTCACAGATCAATGAGCAAACCCCACTGCTTGAGAAAACTGCAGTTAGGGACTGTTAGAAGCAGTGGTGGCAGCTCACAGGAGCTGCTGCTGAGCCTGCAGTGAGTCCCTGCCATCAGCTACCAATGCTCAGATCTCTGCTCTGTCCAGCTACCAAATGCTCTAGACTTAAGGCATTTATTAGCTTTAAGAGCTTTGCCCTACAGTAAATGTGATTGAAGATGGCTAATGGGATAAAAATTCAGCACTGGGGGCTTGGCAGACAGGATAGTTACAGAGCTTTGTTTCTTTACGAAAACAAATCAAAATTTGGTCCAACCAGGCAGGAATTGCCTCAGATAAATAAGTGTGTTCAAAATCCTTCAGTCCAGTTTTGTTCTTGCTGGTGAAAGCACTGATTTTGTGGACTGAGCTGTAGCTCTTCTGTGGCCCAGGCTGAAGTCATGTAGGAAGGGAATGCTGAACTAGGGACATTGTACTGCGCAGAGAGCAGAGCTGACATCCCTGTGGCACAACCCTTGTAACAACGGGAACAAACAGCCTGAGAGAAATCAGGATTCAAAAAAGAGCATGAGCTTGGTTTTCCTCTTAAGGATTAAAAAATATGAAAGAAAAGAGCAAATTTATTCTTCTCTTATGAGAAGAATAATTTTAACCAATGCTAAGTGCCTGAAACAGGGGATTGGGAGTGCATAGCCCAGTTTAGCTTATTAAGATCTAAGCACCCATTGGTAAAGGAGCTATTTGTTCATCAGCCCAGACAGAGGAAGGATGCTTGCAAAAAGGTAGCATACATCAGTGCAGTGCTTATGGTTTTTTTCCCATACAGGGAAACTGACTTGATAATCAAAGGAAATATTTTGCTATCACACAAGATTTATAAGGCTGTTAGCAATGACATTTTTGCAACATAGATCAATGTCATGTCTGAAGAGAGGCTGAGACAGGCTAACGAAATAAACTGTGAGTCAACGCATAGGAAAAAACTGGGCTAAATTGAATTTTAGAGCTCCGCTTTTAAGATAGCAATGCTACTACTAAGCCTTAACAAGGGGAAATAAAATCATTAAATTGCTTTTTGTTTTATGAAGTGGATTTTTTTTTTGTTTTCTTAGGAGCTATTACATTTCAGTCTGTTATGCACAATTTAGTCAGACCATCTAAGTCTTACTCAGAGTTGAAACCCCCAAAGATTAAATTCTGCTATTCTGAGAAAGGAGGGGAGCTTAGTAAGTAGAAATACCTGGAGAGCTTTTTAAATTTAGACATAAATTATTTTTCCAATGGAAGTTTTAATATTTTCCCATGAGCTACACTGGAGGCTGAATTTTATAACACTTTCTGTTTCTTTTTTCCCTTTCTCTCTCTTTTTTTTTTTGTTTGTTTTGGGGTTTTTTGTTTATTTGTTTTGGTTTGGTTTTGTTTTTGTGTTTTTTTGAGAGCTGTTGCACCAAAATTCCATTGGTTGTGACCCAGTAGACTTTCAGTGTGTTGTGCTCATCATGAGGTTACCCTAAGATGGTTCAGGGGAGGCAGCTGCCCTGAATTAAGACTTGGCTTTGGTTTACAGAACATGTAAAGTCTCAGCTCCTGAGATGTAGGTTCTCAGCACTAGGCTTGAAACACAGAACTCTTTTTCTTCCCTGCTTCTTCTGTTTCACAGTCCAGCCTGAAAACAACAATTTGCCTCTTTGGTGCTCAGAATATACCTTTAAAACCACCTCTGAAAGTGAATGATTTCTTGAATATTATGAACATGCAAAGATCATCAAAAATATGGGTTTGTAGGCAATGGTCTGAGTCAAAACCATGGGCAACAAATTCACTTATCATAGCTGGTTATTAATATTTATTAATTTCGTTAGTGGTATGACTAAGTTGTTTATAGAACAAGTCTGTGCTTTCTCTTGGCGCAGTGGGACGTAAAGCATTACCCAGATTGAATTGTCTCATTTTTAATCAACAGAAAATGAGTTGTATTTGATATTAAACTGATTTCTTCACTGGAGGGCATCTCTGCCTTTTATTAGACACTGCATTCAGGTCTTTAAAAGAAAACTTAATATAATCACCCCCTCATTGTTAATGACCTTTATTAGAAATGGCAGTTTGGAATACGAGAATACATGTTCCAGAATACCAGTCCATCTGAGGATCAGGTTCCAGATAGGGACCTCTACCATCTAGTGAAGAGAAATGTAAGAAAATGCATAGATGGTTAGTATTAGGCTTAGTTTTTTGTAAGTTGAGGTTAGTTGAATATGGCTATTTGGGCCGTTAGAAGTGTTCCTATGTGAGACATAGCAGATACTTTCCTCTTTGGAGATGCCTAATTTTTTCTGGTGTTTAAATAGCTAATGACTGTCTTCATACTTTTCTTGAAAAAGCTGACTAGTTCTTATTCAGACAGAGAGTGTTTTACTCACCAGAACAGAGTAATTAGTCTGAGCTGCAATTGCATCCTTAAATTTCTGCATCTTCTCAGAATCCTGTTGGGGTAATCAGAATATATGTATTGTTGAATCAACTCTAAAAGAAACAGCATCTTCCATCAACTAACCAAGAGCCAAATAGCAAGCACCCAAAATGTCCTTTGCTATTGGCTCAGGTGTAAGTACTCTGATAAATGAAAAGCCACAGGGATCAATGTCCTGATCAGCACCAGCCCCTGATTGTGCAAGGGAAGAACAGGTTTCATGGTGGTGCATTGTTTGAAGTCAAGAAAAAGGTTTGCAGTTCCTTTTGTGTATTCCTTCCATGGATTTTGGGGATGTAGGTTATTACCAATAGAGTCACTGTGTTTGAAGTAGGGAAAATAATTGCCTAGTGTAATTCAGTATTTTCAAAACAGGCAATGTCCCTTCTCCAGAATGGTTTATCTAGACATTGACAGTGATATTAATGAAAGCCATTACTGATATTTTACTAGCCAGTCAAAAAATGACTCCCATGTGTGAAAGGGCATCTAGAACTTTCCAAGGCTGCATCTGCAGATGCCTCACATTTCAGATAACAAGCGAGTAAATTTTAACTCCTGTCAAATGGCAGCCTTTTATATTAAGGGAATGATCTTAAGAAGTGTTGCCTTGCTGTACATCAAGTCCAACACTGCAACTTTGGGAGACCCTGAAACAGGCAGAAATGAGTGGGTCTCCAGATAAACAGGGGACCTTCAGCTCCTATGGACGATGAATGATCTTTTGAACAAAGAATTCATTTTAGTAGCAAGTCAAGGTCACCATCAGGGACCTTCAAAATACAAAGTCTGGTATTTTTTTACAAGGCTAGAGCTAGGCCTTCGTTCCCTTGTACAGATTAAATTACCAAATGCAGTCTTTAAATCTGATTAATTTACAGCTATTCAAGCAATCCCTAGTGTCAGTGACTGCTGCTTTTACACCAAGTGTCAAATGCATGAAATATTTCTCCTGCTGAAGAATCAATCTGACTCCATCTATCTTTGGTGACTGTTCAAGCTATCGTTTGAGGATAATTTTTTGTTTGTATCAGAAGAAAAAAAGTTTTTTAATTGGATTTGAATTAATGGCTATTAACTAACAATATTTTGGGGAGTTCAAGGCTACTTGCACCAGGCTGTGCATCTCTTCGTGCAGAAAAAAGAATTAACCTCTCACATTCAGAGCAGTGCATAGGTCTAAAGAAATCACCTTGGAATAGGGTTTTATTAAATTAATTTTCTAATGTTTCTGTGATGCTAATATATATGTAGTTTTGCATGGAAACATGAAGATGTTCACATCAAAACAAAGATTTATTAATGTCTGTTGGAAAGAGCCATCCCAGACCAATAAAAGTGTCCTTCGTATCTCTTGGTGGAGAAGAGGCCAGGAAAACTATCACTGGCTTGGTTTGCTTCATGATAACAGGTTTTCCAGGGGAAATGAAAGAATTTCCCCCCCCCCCTATTCTGTATGGCCAAGGCATGCAGTAGAAAGATATGGGGGCTGAGACTGAGCTTCATCTAGACACAAATGCCATTCTGCAGCTTGTAAAACAGGACAGTTTAGGGGGCTGGGAAAGGGGAGCATGAGCTCAGATTTGGGTGGGGAAAAGATGAGAAATGCTGAAGCTCTGGGAGAGCAGCAGGAGTCAGTAAGTGTTGGAAGAAGGCAGAAAGAAAGATCATTCCAAGGAGCTAGAAAGATCTATTGAAACAACGTGGTGGGAGCATGCTGGCTCCTGCCAGCAGCACAGTCAGTGTGCCACAGCATGGGCTGGGACTATGCTGAGTGCCCAGGTGGGGAGAGGAAAGTGCACAGAAAACAGGAACTTCTGATGAAATGTGATTGAGAACCATCTTGTCTGACAGGACACTGGTAGGAAATAAAAAACAGCCTCTTCTTGTCTACTGAGTGCAGTCACTATTATGTGCAACAGTATGGTCATAGTCTGCCATGAACTACCCACCCAACAGAGGGAGTTGCTTCAGGTTTTTTGAGTTATTTTACCATGGGACTTGCTTGAACTTTGTCCATCAGGAGCTAAGTTCTGGATATAATAACATTAAGGAAATTGAATAAACTGTGGATGAAGAGGAGACTTATCTGGGGAAATTTTCATAATCCTCTGGGACATTAGATCTTGCTTTATAATTTTTCATTAATTTACACCTAATCTATAGCCCAGAAATGCTTCTAGCCATTTACTTATGCTAAATTCTAAAGAACAGCCATGTGGGCTGTTGCCAGTGGAATGGGCTTACTGGGAAAAATAAAATGTATTGTGGCAGCATTTTGCATCTGAACAGCCACCTGGAAATTCCCTGTACGGCAGCGCAGTGCAGTGGGTGGAAGTGGCGCAGAGACATTGCGGGAGGCTCTCCAGGGATGGTGGGCAGGACAGTGCACAGGGCTGTTTGTGCAGCTCTGCTCCCAGCTGCACCTCTTTGCCTCCCCATCTACTCTGTACAGTGCTCATGCTTCTGGCAAACAGATGGTGGTGGCCCAAAGAAAGGCAATTGAAATTTTTCTTTTTGCAGTATGATATCAAGACAGTTTGGAGAGTTGTTTGATTAGCTTGATGAAGCTTTTCATCATTAAGGTTGAGCTCCCTTGACGATTCTGTAAGACTTAGTCTATTTGGTAGAAACATCTCTTTAAAACAAAAAAGATCAGCCAGAACATATCCACATATCCAGAAATGAAAGCATGGGAATTACATCACGTATTATAGGCTGCAGCAGAACTAACCACTGCAGGGAACCTGCCAGGAATTCCCCTGGTGTGGCAGTTTAATGATCCTGAGCTTTGCATGCTCAGCCTAGATGTCTCCAGGGAACTGAATTTGGATCTTATGATTGAACATTCATAAGACAGTACTAAATCTAAAATCAGATATAATGTTTCTTATAATGTCACATTTAGGTACCTCTGAATCTTTTGGATGCTTAAATAAAAGAAAGGGAATTTTTATATTTAGCTTAAAGGTTGGTCTGTACAAAAAGTAAAATCCTGTAATCTTTGCTACCCTGCCCTACGCCTTTATGTTCTCAGTTAAGAGTTTAAAAGTGAGAGACAGGGGACCATGAATGCGTTATTTCCTTGGTGTTTTGGCAGAGAGGACAGAGGGAGCCAGCCCAACTTACCGACACAGCTGCCTTGTCACCTGCCATTGCTTTGACAAAAACCAATGCTTCCGAGGTAGCAGACCTGATATTCTCAACCCGGCCCTCGTCAAAGCGGCGCAGGGACGCGCTTTCATAGGTTGGGGCAAGCCTCCTGTGGCACCTGGGACAGTGAAGGAAGAAAAACAAAGAATGGTTATTTTCAGAGTCATAAAGACTAAGAGAAATATAGGCCTGGTACATTTTATAGTTACAGCCCGCACTTTTATTTCTTGCATGGTATTCATCTTAATGTTGTGATAGAATGCTGTAAGAAACTTTAAAAAGATGGATGCCCACTTGTCTCTAATATGAAGAGCTGCATACAGCTGTATATGGTTTAGTTATGCATTGCCAGTAAAAAATGACTTGTTGTGTAAAAACAAGGCTAGTAAACCAAAAATTTACTGAAAGATCTCAAGGAATGTTTTATTTGTACTGCATCATAAAATAATTGTGTAATTAATCATTTACTTATGGGCTTGAAATATGTTTTATTTAAAACAAGAGAAAATGCACCAAGTGCGTGAATGAAAAGAAGAAAACCAAAAGGGGAATACGGTGTTTTTTTGTGAGCTGGAATGAAAACCCTCAGAGCAATTAGAACAGATTATGAAGATTATAATTTAATTTGGGTCCAGGTATACAGATACTACTCTTTGCTTCAGGAGACAGACTGTCTTTCAGTTGAAGCAGGTGGTCTCAGAACACAACTGTTCCCTAAGGTTTTTATGGCAAACAGGGGATAGAAAGGAGCTTTTAACTTTGATAAGACCATGGAATTTAGGGGATTCTATTAAATCTTGGGATGCTTGTGAAGAAAGGAACAGCAGTAGTTACTGTTCTGTGTAGGAACTCCAGTCTGATGCGCAGTGCTGTAGGGGATTTTTTCAGCCTGTGCCAGAGATGCACGTGTGGTTACTGCCATGGTTCCTCCCAAGCTACCCACAAGTTAAGGCAGTGGTGCCTCTGCCCCAGGGAGCTGGGCTCCCCAGCTGCTGCTGCTCCACACATCCCTGCCATATTCCCTCACCTTCTCAGTGCCATGCACAGGGACAAGCCAAGCCGACAAGGAGGCCAAGCCGACAGGAGGGTACTGGCTGGGAATGCCATGTGTGGGACACAGGGATGGGAAGGCAGAGCAAGAAGAGGGAAAGGGAATGAAGAAAAGGAGTACTCTCTCCCAGAACCAGGTATCAGTTTCTATCCTTTCTGCCCTGCAGTCATTAGGCAAGATCACTCATTTTCATGCAGGAGGCATTTGTTTGAATCTTGAGGAAAAAATGGACCCTCTGTATAAAACCCCACTACCTTGTGTACCTTATTCCTCTGCATTGAACTAACCTTACCTGTAGAATGCCAGCTGAAGTGCTACTTGGATGTAGGCATCTGGGCTAAACTTCTGTTTCTTAATAAATTCCTTTCCATAGTGCTCAAACTTGTAGGCTATAAAGTCCAGATTTTCCACTGCCCTGAAAAAAAAGCAAAAAGGCAGTTACTGCTGGGGTAGATGTAAAAATCTCATAGAATTGTTAAAGTTGGAAAAGAACTCTTAGATCATCAAGTCTTACCATTAACCTACCCTACCTTGTTCGCCACTAAACCATATTCTGTCTCATTTCTGTTTGCAAATAAAACCCAGAGATCTTTTCCTGCCAGTACCCTCTTAGAGGTGAGTGGTCTCCTGCTCTGCAGACAGTCCTGGCCTTTGGTAACTTGTTCCCAGTCAGTAACTTTTATTGATACAGATTCTACACCAGGCTTGTTATCTGCAGCCATAACTGTAGCATTCAAGTCTGTTCGTTTGAGTAGGGTATCTTTTTTTTAAAACAAACAAACAAACAAAAAAACCAAAAATCCAGCAACTTTAGTGTTTCCATCCCTGAAGCCTAAGCAAGGGTCTCCTTTGTTCTTCACAAATTTCTGAGAGATTTACTGGTGTGACAATTGGGTCACAATTTAGGACCTGATGAAGGCCCTAAGCTCCGTGCAAGATTCAATTTAGAGGACTACTGCCTTTATTTAAAAACACCAAGGAGTTATTCTGCATCCTGAATGTTCTCACTCCTATGTATCTTTCTAGACACCTTGAGATCTAATGTGACCACACTGGACATGCTTACAGCTGATCGTGCAGACAATGTGTTAATTCTCTAAAAAGACATCACAGGCCTGAATGTTGAGAAAGAATTCTGATTGCTGCCCCCCCACCCCCAAAGATCATGCAAATCTTTGACAGCCTGGAAACAGAGTGAGAAAAACTAGACTTTGTAGGAATAATATGAATGTAAACAAATTATGTTCCTAAATTCAAATTGTTTATTCAAACCAGTTGTATTCTACTGTCCTCTATATGTACCCCTATTGCCCTGGCTTCAGATTGGTCAGCTCAAACCCATAAGACACAAAAACAGAGGACCCGCATTGTTTGCATCCTGTGCAAACATGGTCAAGCTGTTTATCCAGTGGTTTTAGAGTCCCTAATATTTACATGGAAGGAAAAAAATGGTAATGCAATTCCTGAATACAGACAAGTAGCTCCAGCCCATAAGGGTCCTATCCTGCCCGGAGATGCTAGGTGCGTGCAGTTTGGTAAGAAGAGAAGGAGCAGGAAGGCAGGAGGCCCCCAGGGAGGGAGCCCATGAATTGTGCTGGGTAGTTCCCAGCTTGCAGTCATGGCTGAGAAAGATGAGGCATCTGTTCTACCTTTGGAGTTTTTCTGCTGCTGATGCCAAATGTGTCTGAATATCAGGGGAACACTTCCATCTCAGTCTCCGTGGAGCAGGAAGCTCGCTCACTGAATCAGCTCGGACTAATTTCTTGGAGCTTTCTTTCCTGTTGGTATGTGAGACAGAAGTCATTAAGGTCACAGGAATAATCCATTTATTAAACACTGCCCTTTCAGCAGGTGAATTACTGCTTTTCAACTGTTTTATGTATCTTAGTGCCTCTGTGCAGCAGGGGAAATCTGCCACTGGCAGAGGCTTCCCAGAGGCTGGAATGGTGTGGAATGTACAGAAGGGAACTCACATGTGCCTGAGCAGGTATTCAGCACACTGCACCATGACGATGCCATCGAAAGGGGAATGCTCGCACACGGTCCCGCAGAGCCCGTCTCTTCCTACCACAAACTAAACAAGGAGAAGGACAGGTGCAACATACACAGGGAATAAATCATCTTCTGGGTAAGTTATCCATAATGACAAAGGTATTATTGTTACCCTGTAGTGTTCTTATTGCTCATAACAGGAACTCCCTTGCCCTGCAGATCAGTGGGTGACTTACAGATTTACTGCAGGAGACTTGCTTGTCCTGTGAAAGGTGTTGCACTGAATTCCTTTCATGCTGCTCTTTGGGACTGAATCCTGTGAGAATGTAAACGTTAGCAGTTCCTAATGGAATCTGAAAATTTTATTTAGCATCTGCTTTATGGTACATAAAACCCATCAATGCAAAGACAGGCCAGGGTTCTCCTTCCACTTTTGAGGACAATAAAACATCTGTGTGTGTGAAATCCTTAGGATCCCATTTTATTACAAAGCTCATCCTTATTTGGTAGATTTCTCATAGCTTATTTTGAATATTTTATTTTTAGATGCTTTCTTCATTTCATTTCCCTCTTATTTGTCTTCATTCTTAATTTCATTATGTACTCATGGCACTGCTGGTGACAACCTGCTGCACTCCAGTTCTGTGATACACCCATGCAATTTGTAACTTCTGCATCTCATAAAAAAGCAGATGTCTGGGCCAATACTGCAGCTTTCCTGTTCTTTTCCTGGGCTTTTCCCCACACTTCTTTTGAAGTGCATTTGGCTAGACTTCCCTCACCTCTCTCTTGCACATTTGAATCTCATCCTGCCTCCCTGCTTTCCATGAGGTTTTCAGAGAGTGGGCATGATGCAAAAAGCTCACCTGGACATTTTCTGAACACTTACTGCAGAGGTGAGGAAGAATATGGAGAGAAAGAACAAATTCTACTGTGAGAATGGCTTCCTACCTAATCTGTGTTTGCATAAAAGGAAATGGGATCTTATTTCCCTAAGAATTTCTCTTCACCTTTGAACTACTTTGGCCTGAATACATCTGGACAGATTAAGCTCTCTCACACTCTATACAATTTTATTTTCTTTCTGCTGCCTTATGATAGTAGACAAAAAGAAAATGTTGTTTATTCTTATTTGCTTGAAATATCTCAACACTTGACCCTGCAAATAACAAGTCTCTAACTGTTCTAAAGACAAGCGGTTTGTTCTTCAAAAGAGTCTGCTAATAATGTCATTTGCAGTGGCATTAATCAAAAATGAGTACTGAAATGTATTTGCTCTTGGGGAAGTTGGAGTAAGTGAAATTCTTTATGGGAGAACAGATGGGAGACAGAAGAGAGAGCACAGTTGAGCTTATAGATTGAGATATTCTGGCCTTGGTCAGGTACAGATTGTAGGATAAGCAACCATAAATATGAAAAGAACAACTAGAAAAGTACAGCATATACGGCTATCAAGTTTTTGAAACTATGTGGTTTTGTAAGGCTGCCAAGTAACACATACAGTAAGCTGATTGTGTAACTAGTGGGAAATTGTTGCTTAAGGATGTAACTGCTTTGGGGGTACAAAAATATCTAAACTGATCTGTGAGAACAATAAAGCACTTTCGACTTCTTTCTGCCTTGACTTCTCACATCCCTTCCTCCAAGTCTCATCTCTCAGCTGTGGCAATTATTTTAGGGGTTTCTCTTTTCATGTTGCTGTTCTTAGATATGGCAAGAGCAAAAAGCATTATGCAAGCAATGTATCAGTCAGGGTTTTTTCAATTTTTCGTAAGGTGTCAACATTGTTGACAGTTGGGAGATTAATACATCACTTCCCTCTGGGTCTACTGCAAAGTGTGGAAATAACAGTGCGGCGCTTTAAAATATGACAATCAAAATCTGATGGGGAAAAAGGCTGGAGAAGTCAATACTTAAAGAAGGTCTCAACAAGGATGCCCTTAAATGAGTAAACAGTCTGTTAAGTGAGGATTTAAACACATGCCAAATTATAAGCAGTAGCATTTCTAGGATGCCAGGAAAATGTGTAAGAAGGGGAAACAAAGAAAAATATTGTGCTTTTTTTTTCATTCTGGAATACTAGGCCATCATTTTCATTCCATTTGACTCAGTGTAGAAAGATGCATTGTTTTTTTATATCCAATGTCTGCCTACTCATACATCTGAGTATCTGTGTTATCTCAAGAGCAAAAGGCAGCTTTGGAAAAGGTGGAAGTTATTCCCCTGCTTTGCAAGGGACAGCCTTGCTCACACCAAACTGGCCCAGGCAGATGCTGGCACCATCTTCCCCTTTTTCTCCCACCTGACTGTGAGTGTCCCCACCACCAGGCAGCGTGCAAACAATGTCACAGTGCTGTAAGGTTTTTACCTGCATGGGTTTGTCGTACCAGCGATTGGCCCCGTTTTTATGGTAGCCCCCTCCATGCAGCATGTGAAGGGCCATGTTTGTGTTGCTGAGCTCCACCCCAGTGGGGCTGTCCAGGCACACCAGGCATATGCACCGTTCAATCATGTCTAGAGAGTCGCGGTTGGTGGAGTCTGGGGATAGAAGAGTGAAATGTTCACATCCTCTTACCTCTGAGTACAGCACTGACTGGGGAACCCTCTGCCTTGGAGAGCACTGAAGATCTGACCCTGACGCTGCAATGAGCTGCTGTCTGCAGAGCTTCTCTCAGCAGCAGATCATCTCAGTGCCAGGGAACATTGTACCAAGGCATTAATTCCTGTGTTAACTTTTGTGACTCTGTGTATCTCTCACATGATTCAATAATAACCACTTTCTTTTTCTGCCTTTCATTTCCTTGAAGTAATTATATTACAAAATAGATCTATTTTACTCTTAAAGCCAGCATTGCTTACTTATTTTATAAATAACAGTTACAGAGGACAGGTGGAAAATAGGAAATTTCAGAGCTCACGCTATTGCTGAAGTATTCTGCTCTGGAACAGCACAGCTTAGAGTATTTTTGTGTTGTTCTCCATGAAAACCATTTTCAGAACAAGGAACAGCAGGGTCTATGTTGGTTTTGTCTTATTGTATTAAAACCCTGTTTTCTGTCCTGTCTCTGATCATTAGCTGATATTGCCTATATCATGTGAGGAAACATCTGTGGATGAGGTTTTGAGGTTTAGGTTTTGAATGTGATTTTGCCAAAACCATGGGTTGCCATGTTACAGTGCTCTCCTGTCACTACTGCACTGCTGAATAAAATGGGCTTGTCTGGAACTCTTTCTGTTTCTTTTCCCTATCCTGACCCTCTTGCATGGTTGGACTACTGGGTATTTTTACCTTGTCCTCAGTGCTCTCCTCCTTATTTATGGTGTATTTATGTGTTTCTCAGTTTCTTTGTCTAACTCAGAAATATTAGAGGGACTCAGGGTTTGTTTGCACTGAGGACCAGTTTGAAGCATAGGAAATATTTAATTATACCACTTCTTACAGTTCCTTATTGAAAAGATAGAAGTGTGCAACCTATAACAAGAACTTATTTCATTTGAAAACATATAAAATAATTAATAGCTGTTATATAGTTGTTAACAAGATCAAAGGGAAAAGGGCTTTCAAGCATCAACATAAAATTCCTTTTGCTCTTAACAGATCAGCTTTCATCCTTTGGTTTTGCTAGGTTTCAGTGTAAATGTAAACTTGTTTCAGGATGTTCTCAACAAAATATATCAATTCAGATTCATCAAAACTTCTTTCAAGTCTAGGCTAAGTTCAACAAATACATGCTCAATTCAGAAAACTATTTTAGCTGAAAGAATGGAAAAATATTTAAAATTAAACAATTCTGATTTGCAGTTGGAATATGGGGCCATTTCAATATGTGCATGTTTTCAAGGTTTGCAAGTATGTAAAGTGGCTTGATTGTCTGAAAGAACAGCATTTTCCATAGTAAGAAATAATGCACCTTTCCAGAAGGAGTAACATAGATTAGTCAAGAGCTAGAAAAAACCCAGTCACTTGTTACCATCCAGGTTCATTCTTCAGATGCTGAAAAAGAAACCAAATGAGCAAGAAATTAAAAACGTGTCAAGAGAAGGAGAGGCAAGTGATAGCAGTGGCTGAGAAGGAAGAGGGGGAGCTGTGGCCTTGTGCAGGCTGTGCTAGGGTACTGCCTATTGCGGTTTGGTGGCTCCTGCAAGGCAGCATTAGCAGCTGGGGCCCAAGGGACAGAGAGAGATGGTCAGCCTGACTTCTTGCAGGCTCCCTGGGGACCTGGTGGAGTGCAGAGTGTGCTGTGTCCCCTTGCCAACAGAAGAGTCCTAGGGAAAGCAGCTGGAGCACCTGCCAGCTCCTACAAAGGCTTGAGCCAAGAGATTGTGTTTGATGGGGCGTGCAGAGAGGTTGCTGCCTTGCAAAATGTGAACGCCAGTGTTCCTTGGGAGTGTCTTCAAAAGCATTCAGAAGCTTTAGAAGAGAGAAGACACATTCCTGTCCACTTGGCTGTAAAGCTTTTCTAGTGTCTCACACTTGCAGGGCTGACTGTAATTGTGGTATTTTTTCATTGATAGTCTGGGTGCATCAGTACAAAAAGGCAGAAAAGATCCTTGTGAATGGAACTTGCCTGGTATACATCAGCTTGTGGTGCTTGCAGACAGACAACTTTGAGGAAAAACAGCCTGGATAGTGATTTACAAAGTGCTCCCAGCTTGCTCAGCATTCTGCTTTCTGCTCTTTGATAGGTATATATATATTTCATTGCGGCTGCTACCACACATCTTTGACAGATATGAAGCCCTTAGTCTGGCATATGGCTTCAGGGTATCTGGAGTCTAGGTATTAGAGTGAATGAAATTAAGCTGTGCCAGAAACAGAGAAGCAGGGGAAAGATGCCTTTACAGAAGGAAACAGACATATCCAGAGGGCTGATCAAACACTGAAAAATTATCATGTGAAGCAGGCAATAAATTGCTTGAGAACTCATGGACCATGACTTGGGATTGAAAATATCTGCAGGAAGAGCTAAAACAAAAGACAGTATGACCAAGCCTAAAGCCTGCAAAACATTTCTTCCTTTCTAAGGCACAGTTGCATTGAATTGGCCAGCCAACTGTTGGCTACTTGGGTTTTTTAAAATTTAGTCTTAGAAAGGAAAATATGAGAAGACAGTTTTGAATCAAATTCAGATGTAGTATGCATGGGACTGTAGCCAGTCACTTCATACACAATTCACTTCCTGTACTTAGGAAGAGCAAGCTAGTTCTGCAGCCTGAAGGTAGTCACAATGCTGAGTGTGTTTATAAATCAGTGATGGCTGGGTTTATTACATTTGGACATTTTCTCACCTAGAAGACCTGTGCTCTACTTGCAGGTCTGTGCAGGCCCATGGATACAACTCCTTCATGGCCTCTGCAAAGCACTGCACAGGTTTTCTGTCCCAGAGCATTCTCTCTTGCTTTGCCCAGCACAGACCAGCTGTGGAGTGACCCTTTCACCCACATGGCTTCCCAGGTTCTCTTATTTATTGTTGCAGGAACATTTCACCAGCACAGATAAGAAAGGAAAGGGCTGTTAATGATCATATATCCATGTGTAACAGCAATGCAATCACCTACATAGAAGGGCTGTGCTAACATGAATAGTCTGGGAAGGGATTCCTGCTTAGATTAGAGAAGGCTCACATCATGGTGCTATGAGGGTTACTAGTGCAGAATCTGGGTTTTTTTCAGCTGCATAACTGAGTTGTTTGCCTTCTGATTAAAACTAATATTTGGTAAATGCCAGGCAATCTAAAAACACTATGGAGAAGGTTTTGCTAGTTTTTGTTGATTTTTCTTTTTGTTTTTCTTTTGGATGATATAGGTTAACAAAGATATTTTTGCTGGAAGTTTCAAGGCATTGGCTGTTATACTTAGTATGTAATGAAAATAAATTATTAGGTGTTCACCTCAATTTTCATAATAATAAGTTATTTTTTGTCTCCTCTTTTAAAAAGAAATGATGGGAAGAGGAGGGGAAAGCTTAAAGATGAGACTACTGCTATATAATATTGCTGAAATAATGGCCAGGACTCTCTCTGTGTGTATCTGTAGTAAGTTTTATAAGAACAGATAAACTTGAATAAGAAAAGGGGAATCTTCCTTAGGAGGATAAACTTATTTTGAGACTATTGGCAACTCTTGTATATTCCAGGGCATTAGTAAAACAGCAATATTTTCTGTGGCGTTGCTGAACTGGAGGTAAAAAGATGAGTTAATGTTTGCTTCTGGATGAAAAGGTAAATACTTATTACATGTAAAATGGCAAAAAGAGGGCATTTTTATCATTTAGCCTCAGGGTAATATACATAAGGTGTGATGTGACGTGATGTGATAGAGGTTACTAACCCTACCCTTTATTTTTGTCTGTTTCCAAGTGTGACATTCAAGTCCATAATCTGAGACAGCTAAATGCTGCCTGTTGGAAAAGAGAGAGAGAGCAGTCCCCAGATAATAACTGGTGCCATCTTTCCTACATAGTTAAGAATTGGTTGAATCAGCCCTGGTACCTTCTCCATTGATTAGAGAGAGCACACAACTAGATTCAATAGGTGTTTAACTTGCAGCTGCTTTTGTTGGATAAGATCAATAATATCAAATAGTTGCCAAAAGCTAAGAGGATACATCATTCCTATTGGTACAAAATGATTATAAAGAAAGAGACAAATCACAAAATCTGACGTAATGTAATTTATGCAATGAAAAACAAAGAATGGAGTGAGAGTTATTACATGGCATAACACTTAAACATACACAGCCAAAGGGTCAAGCTATTTCTGCTGCTCCCCTGGCAACACACATCTTACAGAGTTTCCTACTGCTGGAAAAATTCAGCAGTGGGGTTGCACATTCAGTCCTGTGTTTGCTGTGATGTTTGCTCTCAGCAAAGAAAGGCAGTGATGGTGAGGAGGAAGATGATGAAGAGAAAGCTGGGGTTGCTGCAGCTAACCTTTCATAAGGGTCATCCTGGCCTCTGCCCACTCTGTTCTTCCGTCTGTTGTCAGCAGGCCAATTGGAGGCAGCATTTCCTCTTCATTCTCTGCCATTTTTGCTATCTTTTGTAACTGAGTGAAAAGATCTCCCTCACTGAGACGACGGAAATTAATGACAACATCCAAAACAAAAAACTGCAAAAAAATTACAGAAGTCAGAAGATCAGTCAGAGGTGGGTTGGACCCTTTGTGGTCCAACATTTTGCTGTCACCTGGGTAGGTGTTGAGGTGCTCAAGTCCTGCCTGGAGAGCCAGGCCTGCATGCAATGCACCACAAAACCACTGGGGAATGAATGGCCCAGGACTCACCTCTCCTGTGTTTTAACACCAATGTAAGGCCAGTTGCCATAGGGAACTTATATTGTGTGTGGGACTCAAATAAAATACACACTATTTGAATAAGCTTTAAAAACCTTGGAGAGATAAAATCAGACAGTATGTAAGTAATTTTCATGGTATTATTTGTTTAAACATAACCTAGAAAATCTAGAAAATTTCCTGTGCTTCCTGGAAAAGCAGAAAGCACTTCACTGGAAGCTACTTCCTCATTCCAGGAGCACCTATGGGCATGGCTCCAGTACTGCAAACAGTCAAGCTGTGCTAGAAGTACTGTGCCCAGGGAACAGACTCTGCTGCTCCCTGGTAATTACTGGTTGGGGCAGATTCACTCTAACACTTCAGTATTTCTGCCTGCACCTGTGCTAACTTCCTCAGCCATAGCTTAGGGCCCCTACATGGTGTCTACACTATGCATAGGTGTGATGGTGGTATAGTTGCCATGAACTTGACTGTGCCAATACTTGACTGTCATGGGAAGAGCATTTCCAGCAAATGCACTCTAATAGAATTATTTTTTCTCTGTGGTTTTATCACTGTTTATTAAACGTTTTTGTTTGAAAGAGAAAGCAAATAAATTCTGCCACATTCCTCCTTTCTGCATCACTGTACTTGGAACATTATGTGGTCCAAGGACAAAAATGCTGCAGAAGCATCTTTTAGAAATATCAACTGCAAATGCTTGGTAAGAAGTGATCTCATACATAGCACACTAATTGCATTTCTGAACAGAGATTAGATTAGGCTCTTCTGGAGTGAATTTAAGCAAATTAAGAAATATAGAAAGGTATGAAAAACTAAAATGAATTTACCTGATTGTTACAAGCAACAATGATGTGCTCTGGTTCTGGCATTACATTGCTTTTCTGGGCTACGAGGGTATCTTTGGTAGGTCCTGGAAGACGATAGGAAGAAAAAAGTCCATAGTATTGCTTCATGCAGAGAGGATGGCCAGACAGCTGTCCACGAGAAAAGTCAGTAGGTAAAGCATGGCTGCAGAGAAAGAGAAAAACAAAGCCAGAGGAAAAGAGGGGAGGGAGACAGAAAGGAAAAAAAATCTTATCTGTCCTTTGTTCTGTTACAATTAGATCAGGTATAACACAAATTGAATAATAAAATGAGATTACAGTATAAGGGAAATAGATGAATTCCCATACCAAAGTTAAATACATCATTCCTGGCAGCTTCATGCATATTCATTAAGCAATTGCATTATCATCTAGTGGAAATGGAAATAGCAGGTCACAAGCAGCTTTGCAATGAGCATGGGAAGCCTGACTAGCTGGGACCCCAGAAACCTGGCAGGATGGAAGTCAGCAGAACAGCTGGGAAAGAGCAGCACCTCAAAGAAAGGTACTGATGAAATTCCCTGCAAATCACAGCAGTCATGTGCTGTGCTGACTGGTTAGAGTGTGTGTGAGAGGGCCTTCCTTGACAAACAGGAATGACTTGGGCAATGACTTGTTTTCCACAGGTCCTCACTTTTGTGCTAATTTTCACTTAGACCCATGGAGTAATATGTGCTGAAAACCTTTTTTTTTTTTTTTATTGGAAGGTAGGTGAAACCAGCATCTCTTTAAAAGCTTCTTTAGTGGCCAAGGGGAAAAAAGAAGAATTATCACAGCCACATTTATGATTATGGATTGTAAAATACCCCACTGACACTGCAGCAGGAAATAAGGGTGCTGCTGGTCAGGAGAGGCTGCAGAGGAGGAAGAAAATCTTACAGTGCAGAGATTTTCCTTCTGCAAAAGAGGACTAAGCTTCCAACTTGTTAGACAGGGGGAGGGGTAAAGAAGCAGGCAAGGAGGTTTACTCTCATACAACTTATGAGGGGTAATATTTTATGCTACTTTATCTTGGTCAACCATGACTTTAGAACTGTTGCAGTTCCCAACTCTCAAATTCTCTGTATCACTTATTTCCTTGTACAGGTGCATTATACATATATGATTTGAAGAATCATGTATTTCCCCAGTGTATTTATTCAGAAAGTAACAAGAGCATAAGTAGCTTATTTTTCTAGCTACTGAACCAGCCTTTCTGTGGTGAGACTTCCCTCCCTTGCTGGGATGTGTTATTTCTCTGTGGGGAGGGAGGTGGGACAGTGTTGTTGTAAATGGTGAGTGCCAGCAGAGGTGTGCAGGCTGTGTAACCACAGTGCTGCTGCCCTTTGGGTGTGGGGAGCACAAGCTTCCTCTTGTGTTCTCAGTAACTCTGTTAGGCAAATTGTCTGTGCCCTTTTGGGCTGCACTGTGCCTGCCAGAGTGATGACTGCCACCCATCAAAAAGGATCCTTCTTCAATCTGTTACACTGCAGGAATACAGCAGAAAGGGTATAAAATATTGGTGAAGCACTTGCCCTGAAGCATGCTGGAGCCCCAGCCCTTCCCCATGGGGGAGAGGTGCAATAGAGCCCAGCTTTGTACTGAGAGCAGCCTCAAATCAGAAGCCCTGTGGATACTCAAGCTCTCCTTCCAAGCCACTTACGTGTCCAGTAAAGCTTTGTAGTCTTGCACTCCTGAAATGAGATTGGCAGCAAACCTGCAAAGAGCAGAGAGAAGTGACATCAGTCTTTTGTCATTTGGCAACACTGGGCTGTTTCTGGGAGACAGAGGATAGCCTGAATGATTGATGACACAGCATAAGGAGAGAAAGTCTTCAGGCTTGGCAAGAAGAGCTCCCTGCCCCCACCCAAAACCTAAATTAATTCATGTCAAGAGAAATATGAAATCCTGGAGACAGTCCCTTCAAATGGTTAAACAGACTACCACAGGAGGAAGCCTGAAAGTGCTTATTTAGAGAATGGGAGCAAAGACTGAATATTTAATAGAATCCTCACATGGGTTTCAATATCAATACTCATAACCTGTCCAGCATTACAGTACTTCCTGTCCTAAGCAGATATTTTTCTGCAGAGCTGTGGACAGGTGTATTTTTTCCTGACATTGTCCGTTTGCACTGTGTCAGAATGGGAGGCTCTGAGAAAAAGATTTCCTTGTTAAAGCATGTGCATTAGAAAATGGAAAGAGGAGGTTTTTTGAATGCTGTGTGCACAATAAATTTAGTAAGTAATGAATGAAAGCATTTATAGTTATGTTTAAAGTAAAGTAAAAAGATGCATTAGCTGTCTATGCAAAATGTTAAAATAATGCATATTTGTTTTAAGGTTCTGGCTGTTTTATAATAGCATAAATTCACATGCAGTTAATTATTTCAGTAATGAGCAGCTAGAGAGTGCTAAAAGCAAAGAGGAAAATTGCACTGTATGAAGGTAGTTTTTTACTATTTTAAAAAGGAAGAATATTTTGGCAGAGACTGAAGAATGAAATCCTGTTTTAAGGGTGTCTGGAGAGGTATATTCTGTGCTTGGCTACGTGCTTACCTTCTCACTTTTTAAATGATAGTAATTGCCTACAACAGCTCAGAGTAGAAAGATCAGTTTGGAGCTGGGACTGATGGGCCTGAAGGAGGCAATGTTCTTGGGGAAGAATGATTTCTGAATTCTTATTCTTAGATCCCCTGTGTTTCTGGTGCCCTTTTGTGCATCTGAGAGGCACAATTTAATGCCAGCGTGGCCTTTTCAATTTGCAGGGTGGCTACGAGTCATAGTGAAGCCATGTTAAAGATTATTTCCCTTGAAACTCTGTGTCAGAAATTAGTAGTTTTTTTTCATCACAAAGTGGTTTACTTGAATCATGTAGAGTAAAAAGCTTTGTAAATATTCCTTAAAAATACAAATCCCTTGGCATTTTTTTTCATGCAATGAGTGTAATAGTAATGACATCTTTCTTTCTGAATATCAGTATGAGTTACCCCAGAAGCACTGTCCTCAGTCAGGCAGCCTCGTAGGAAATCACTTTAATGGCTACAGCCCTTATTTTTTAATGAAAGTTGATTGTCTTTTTGCAAAAGCCGTACATTTAAAATATCCTTTCATTTAGCAAAAGCTGCAACGTCGTAATACATTACCTCAGCTGGTCGTTTATGTCCTTGAAATGCTGGCGAGCAAAGATAATTGCGGGGCTGGAATTGACTGGAAGAGCCAGGCGGTTGTTGAGGTACATGTCATCCAGCCAGTAGTGAAACACCTGAGGGAGGGGGACACAACGTCTTAAAGCTGCCACAGCACACAGCAAAGCAGGGTGAGGGGACACTGCCTGGTGCTCCTGGTGTCAGCCATGGGCTCTGATTAATGGAGCTGCTGAGCATTTTCAGCCTGGGCTCTGTGACCTCAGCTCGGCAGAAGTCAGCCGCAATTCCATAATCCTATTTCTCAATCAATGGCAATTTACAGTGCGTTCCATTAAAAACTACACAAGCCTCAGATTGTGGTGCTTTGGGTATTTTGTTGTTTGCTTCTCTCTACAACCAGAAAATATTTGAATACAACATGTTAACTCTTGCATAGCAATTAGAATATGTTTAAGAGAGGGCCAGAGTTTTACCAGTGATGGCTTTTCTCAGGGGGCCTCAAATATTTGTGAATGATGCCAAGATGCTCCATTGCTAACCATCAGATATTGTCCTGTGGCAAGACAGAGCAGGAGAAGAATTTCCCAAGCGTAATGGTTCAGTTCTGCAGAGAGTGGCACGTGGATAGGGCCCTTGGAGAATTCCCTTTGTGTCCACTGACACAAATGCAGATTGCTGATTCTTGACCCACACAGGCACACATTAAATTTCTAACCATTTTTATTGAAAACATGGATGAACAGTAACTGCATTCCTTTATGTCTGAGCAGAGATTGAAGAATCACTATTTGGAAAATGGAGGCTTTCATAAAAATATCAAATGGCCTTTCTAAGAGGGCAGGCTTTGCATATGGTAACTATAAACAACAACAAAATTATGCAAAATAATTACAAATGCATGCATCAGTTGAAAAAGTTTTCCTCCGAGATATTTCATTGCTGTTAGAACAGATGCTTCCCCTACAGTCTCTGGAGTCTTCAGGGGAACATGCTAGAGATATACTCCTGGCAAGTTAAATTCAAATAAATCCATTTCTAATTTACCTTAAGAATCAGGTATTCATTTTAACAGCCAGTATTTAAAACTGTCACAATTTCAGAAAATGCTTATGCATCCTTCCTCTGTAATTTTCATTCTATAAGTGCTCAAGTGAGCAGATGTCTTCAGGAATATTATTTCTTATCAGGAACACTTTTTAAATGCTGGTTAGTTTAGCCACCATGAAGTTCTGTGATCACAATATGAAAATAAGATTGGGCAGCATTTAGTTCACAAATTAAGCACTGCTTTTAAAATGAAAGCACTGACAGCACTGTAGCCTTTTCTTCCTGACTGTAGCAGCAATTCGATGGAGTTTTTTGTGTGTGTCACACAGAAGGGAGAACCACAATTCACTGACATCAGTAACAAGCCTGCAGGGTTTCACTGAATCCACAGACTCATTTTCCTTGTTGGAAAGGAAGGACTTTGATAAAACACTAATTTTCAACTGCCATATTCTAACATGGTTAATAAGGGCAGGGTGTGACTTTGTGGAATGGTAAAATCTACTTTAGCTGTGGCTTACCTAACTTGCCTGCCTTGGGAAGCAGAAAGCTGAACTTTTGTAAAGGCAGAGGTCTCAGCATGGTCTGTGTGATAGATGTACACGAATATACATGCGTGTGCATATTTGGCAAAGTAACTACATTGGTATAGCATAACAATGAATGGCAAATAATAGTTCAATTTTAAAAGACTAATACCTATAATGAAGTGTTTCATTTCAGAATAATTGGTGTAAATCAGAACTTTGACTAGACGGCTTTAACATGGATTTTGACATAATTTTAAAAATCTAGCTGCGTAATTTTAAAAATCTATTACATCTGAAATATTCCTTTGTCAGAATGACCCGTTTGCATTGACCTGCTGAAAGAAAACAGTGATTGCATAGAGAACATCAGAAAGAACTTGTAAATAAGCATCATCAAACAGAGCAATTGCATTTGCTTACCCAGTTTATTGTCTTTTCACTTCTTTCCTCAAGCATTTTCTGCAAGGATTCCCCCAGGCCTCCTGCAATTCCAAATTTCTCCACAATGGCCTTGGTTTTTTTAAATTGCTCCTCTGGCACCAAGTGCTTCATGCACTGTAGGTACATGTGTAAGGTCTGTTGCAGTGGTGGAACTGGAAGTTTTGGCACTTCCTAGTCATTAAAAAGAAATATATATTGGTGAGTAATTCTATTTGTTTCCAATCTGTCCTCTTTTGTTTTCTTATTTTTTTCTTTTGTTGCTGATTAATATGTTACATCCCTTTTAAAATGAATTTATTCTGTTTTAGCAGTTGAGAAGCCTGATTACTACAAATGTACTGTTTGTAGGCTTTCAAATGGATAGAGCAGTGGGCTAGTGGAAAATTATCAAGGACATTGTTCCTCGGTAAAAATTCTAGAAATCCTAGAATGAAGAGGCATGATGCAAGCAAATATGCTGAGCTAATCTCTAGGAAATCTGCAAATACATAACAAAATAATAAAATACCATCTTAATGTATTTCATTACTAAAGAAGTTGTGATTAACTTTTGGTTAGTAAAACCATGGGTTAATGCTTGTCTGGTTGGTAATATGAATGGTTATACAATGACAGAAGTAGAAAACATGCAGGTCTACCTGTTTATTGGTACTGGTTATGTACAGTCCTCAATAAGCTTGTATTTTACCCTGCCAAACCTCTGCTGTCAGTCAGTCTGGAACCCCCCTGGAAGGCTTGATAAAATGTTTCCATTTATACTTCCTTTATCCTTACCCTGTTTGGAGCAATAGTATCTGGGAAGAAAAGAGTTCCATGCTGTCCATGCAATTAAGTTTCCTTTGTTTTTAAATTTAGAATTACCCAAGGGAAGTGTAATTAGTAATTTAAAAGCCAGAGCAATTATTGGGACACACAAGACTTTGAACCTGGTTAGCATAAGAAATTTGATCATCAGGATGCCTTGGCAAGAACAAACAGAACTTTGAGGATTAAATCAAGACTAACTGAAGACCAACTGAATCAAGACTGACTAATGAAGACCAACTGAATCAAGACCTACCAAAAAAGAAAATTTCATCAAGACTTCTGCAAATAAGAGGTATTGTAAAACGTGTAAGTTTGTTTATGTGATGATTAAGCCAATCAATGTAGTAAAAAATTTCTAGCCATCCTAGAATTGTATATAAGCATATGTAGTTCACAATCAATTTGGATTCTGACCAGCTCTCAGTCTCCCCATCTCTCTCCATTGCTGACAACTGGTGCTCCAAGTGAGAAGGAACAGCCTGTCTGGCTGCAATCAGTGAGCCCCTGGCACTGTGGATCGTGATGGTGAGAGAACCGTGTTTGGGCCAGGCTGCCTCACCAAGAGAAGCCCTGGAGGGTATCACAGATGCAGCTTGTTTGGCATTTCTTAAGGTTCCTGATGTGAAAACCCCTAAACAGTCCTTCATAAATATCAAACAGGGCCCACAAGTGCCCTATGTGCAGTTTGTGGACAGATTAAAACAAACACTTGAGCAAGAGAAGCAAGAGAAGTTATCAGCAAGAGAAGTTATACCCAAATTAGCCACAGAAAATCCCAATGAGGATTGTAGTCACCTTTTGAAATCTTTGCCTTCTGAACCTGATGCCACTTTACTCCAAATGATACAAGCATGCAACCACCTGGGAACAGCACAACACACCATGGCAATCACCCATCAAGTCATGGGGCAAGGCATAGCGGATGATTTTGCTGTCCTGAAATTAAGCCCTGGAAAACAGCTGGTTTGTGGGGAGTCTGCACACATTAAAAGAGACTGCCAAAAAGCACAGAAACCCAAAGCCCCAGGTATATGTCCTCGCTGTTGGAAAGGCCTTCACTTTGCTAGTCTGTGCCACTCTAAGTTTCACCAGAATCGCCAGCCTTTACAGGGAAACTCATCTTGGAGTGCAGAGCAGCACTGCACAATACCACAAATCCCACAGCTGACACAGCAACCAGGAGCAGCTGCCAACTTCCAACAGCCCTGCCCGCTGGACAAGTGTCACTGACCTGTGTGCAGCCACCCCAGGCAGCACAGGACTGGACATATCAAACAATATCACAGTAACATTACTGAGTTCATCTGTTCATTTGCCACAGGAGTTTTCTGACCACTGGAACAGCATATGCATGCTTTGATCACAGGCAGATCATCCACCTGGATAACAGGGTTGTTTGTTCTCCCAGTTATTGACTCTGACTCCCTTGGGGAAATTAAGATCATGGCTTGGACCCCCAGCTGCGCTGTGTGGTCCTGGCCAGGAGCCATATAGCCCAACTCTTATTTTTCCTGGCAGCACCCCTATCTGCACCCCCAATAGCTGAACAGTGGGGAGGGGGGGTTTGGTTCCACAGAGGTCCCGCAGATTTTTTGGACACAACGTATCCAAAACATCTCAGTGTCCCACGTGCCAATGCAAAGTGACTCTGAAAGGCAAGGATATAATTTTAACAGGACTCCTTGGTACTGGAGCAGATGCAACTTACGTCAAAAAGGGAATGGCCCAGTGATTGGCCATTACTGTCTGTGCCTCAAGTGCTCTCGGGCATGGGTGGGAATAGTCAAAGCTTGCAAAGACAACACTTGGTGCACATTGCAGGGCCTGAGGGGCAGATTGCCACAGTTAAACCTTTTGGGCTCTCTGTCCCCCTGGTTTTGTGGGGGAGGGATGTGTTGACACAGTGGAGAATTTTTATGCATTCAGATTTTGTATAGGAGTCATTGGGAGCCTCAACACCCTCCACCATGGTCCCTGGCTGAAGTGCCCCAGACACTTTGAACCATTGGAAGGAGCAGGCCAGCTATCAAAGGCGACACTTCTTACTGACCTAAAGCCCTGAGGGACACCTTGCCTTAGTCAAACCAGTTATATTTCTAGTTACTTGCCTTTTTAACTACGTATTTTCTTGTGAATTTTTCAGTACAGCTATTTAGAATTATATATTTTTTTTTTAATTGTTTTAGCCTTCAATATTTATATCCCATTACCTTTATTACACCAAATTTAAGTCTATCATACAAGCAACCTTTAAATGCTGCTGCAGGGGGTGCAGCCTCCACTGCCTGGCACCAGCCAGCATGGTCTAACCTGCACGGCATGCTGAAGTTATGGCACATCAAAATACCAACTGATGCTGCTTACTATCCCAACTCTATTAACATTTACCTTCTAATTTTAGTGATTTGTGATTTTTAACAGGATTGTTACTAGAAAAATTCAAAGGTGTTTGTGTAACAGTGGTGTCTTCCTACATATTAGTAACACAGCAAAACTGCATAGTCCACTGACAGTAATTAGATAAGTCATAAGTTCAAGATTCTTTAGATCACATTCAAGATGAACTTTGAACTTTATTTGTAGTAGTTATTTGAGACTTAACTAGAACTAGTACATAAAACTCCACTGTCAGCTTTATTAAGTGCTTACTTTTTACTCCATAGTTTCAGTGAGGTCATTTTATTATAAATTTTTCAGAACAGATGTCATATAACAGTTAAACATCAAAGTAAATGAAAAATTTTCAGTAAATGAAAAATTTTCAGTAACTTTTTTATAATAATTGAGTTTAAATAAGTTAATTCTTGTTAAGATTAATTTTTGTTTAATCTCAGTGATGTTAACTTTAACTTCTTTTAAGTATATTTTTGTTATGTTTTACTGAAGTTAATTTTTCGTGAAGTTGATTTTAAATTTTGTTGAATTATCCCTGTTTCAATTATAAGATATAATTCCTTTACTATACAAGTGAATAACACAAAGCCTAAATGAATTTCGTCAACATTTGCTAATTTAAATTATGAGATACAACTATTTTATTATAGAAATAAGAACAACTTTTGCTATTTTATTTTTATAAGTTGTACTGAAGAATGAGTTAAAATTTCATATTATGACTGCTATCAGTTGTGATCTGTTTAATGCTTTGTTTTACTACTATTTAGCTAAAGAAAATATGACAAAGCCAGCTGATTCACAAACCTTCACATATTGTTGTATAGCTATTTGTAAGACATATATTATTTTTAACTACTATTACTAAGAGGTTTTTAAAATATATTAAAGAGACTCTTCCAGTTAAAGCCTGGATCCTGGCCAAGTCCTAGACTTAACTAGTAGAGAAATAAACCAATAGAACCAAGTGTTTTCAACATCAAAACTTTACTCAAATAATTCTGAATTGACAAATTTGGACCTATAATGGCTAAACCTCCTTTTAAAGTGAACTTGGAGGGCTTACCCTCCAAGTCCTCATGTTAAAATTGCTTTAAAAATGAAGCTTGCCAATTACTACAGAGTCTAAGTAATACTACAATATTTAAGAAATTGATAGTGCATTATTTTAAATCAGCATTCTATTTTTCATGTGCTGCTAATTGTATAAATTATTTTATTTATTTTTACTTAGTATAAGTTTATTGTTTTTACTTTTATGTTTATTGTTTTACTTTTATGTTGCCTTTATAATGAGAAACACACATACTATTCAAAAACAAAAAAAAGGGGGGGAATATAGCTCCTCCAGAACTTTACACTAATATTTACATACACAAAAAAAAAATTAAAGCAAATCAAATCAAATTTGACCCCTTGCCTTCCTGAAGAACCCTTGAAACCCCAAGAATTAGAGCCCCTGGGTTCTGTGAAAATGGGTTTTGTGTTAATTTTAAATACACAGAAAAAATCAGTCTAAATGTTTCTCCCTATAACCTCGTGTATAAGAATCAAACCTTCTGCTGCAATTACACTTCTTGCAATGTTTCTAAATCCAGTAATGGCCCCCTTGCACCTGCCATCAGGAAAGTTTTTAGTTTATAAAGATCAAGCCTGAGCCTTTAGTGGCTAAGGATTTTAGCTAAAAGATTCTTTTTAAGATGGGTAGGTATGTGATGATTTTCATAATAATTGTATTAATTGTGATACCTTGCTTGTTTCCATGTGTGCAGAGATAAATTAATAAGGCCATTTAAGGAGTGATTTTGGTTGAAAAGAGAAGAGAGAGATACTGGGACAAACAAGACAGATGGACTTTGGACCTGGTTAGCATAAGAGCTGTGATCATCAGAATGCCTTGGCAAGAACAGACAGAACTTTGAGGATTAAATCAAGACTAATTGAAGATTAAATCAAGACTTACCAGAAAAGAAAAGTACATCAAGACTTCTGCAAGTAAGAGATGTTGTAAAATGTATGTTTGTTTATGTGATGATTAACCCAGTCATTGTGGTAAAAAATTATTAGCCATCCTAGAGTAGTATATAAGCTTATGTAGTCCCCAAGCAAATTGGATTCTGACCAGCTCTCAGTCTCTCCATCTCTTTCCATTGCCAATAAGCAATTTTGGGGGCAGTGGGAAAAAAAAGCAAGGAGGTAATTCAGGAAGACTGGCAAGTTGCAAGAGGCTGTGATGCTCTAAGTGTGGTTCCTCAGGGAGAGAGCTGTGTCACCTAGTTGAGAAATGGTCAATCTAATGCAGCTATGCTTGTCCATTAGTGATTAGAGTAGGCCATAAACTCTTGGAGGCTTTGTTTTTCTAATTTTATTTTTGCCCATCTCCTGAAATAGGAAATGTTCAGATTTTTTTGCTAGTTCCTGCTGTAATGGACATTCATTTTAGTAGGATTGCAGTGTGATTTTGGGTGGAAGAAAGGATTAGCAGTTAGCTGTCCCATCTGCTGCTCAGAGTTAGTCCAGTGGAGGGAGGGAGGGTGTGGAGGAAGTGCTCTGAACAGCTGGCAGGGACTGGGTGTCCTCTGAGCTCAAGTACCAGCTCTGCTCTTTGACATCCACAGAAAAGTCAGTGATGCATTATGTTCCCTATCTAGAAACCAAGGATTTTAGATACTCATGAAAAGTGTCATAGGACTATCTGTTTTTAATGGAAATACAAATCAAATTTAGCCTATCATACACCCAGAAATAAAAGAATGGCAGTTCTGCAGTTTCAAGGTATGTTTAGTCAAGACATATTTCTTCTGTCATTGATTTCTTGGTCATTGAAAATGAATGTGCTAACTAGTATTTCTTTTTGATACCTGGCTTTGGCCCTATCTTTCTGGGTAAGGTTCCTGTGCAGTTCATGACTCTGCTTAGGAAAAAACCCTGGAAGCTGACTATTGACAGGCATGCATACCCAGCACCTTCTAAACAAGTCTGAAAATTAATCATATATGATAGCTTGATAGTGCTGTACTAGCATGAATAATTTCATGCCATCTCTGACTTTGCAGTATAAAAATATTTGTTGTATAATAATATTTAATTTACTGTAATTCTTCAGAGGATGTTGGGAGAAAGAGTTTATTTGGATATGAGAAGCACTAGTGTTAGATCAAGGTTTCTGGCTATAAACTGTTGCAGGATAACTGGTATTCCCTGAAATGAAGAAATTTGGTCTAGAACAGAGCTTGGGTTACAATTATGATATTAATTTACAGAATTAAAAGTTGTTAAGTCATTTTTCCTTTTTGTTTTCCCAGAAAGAGTTACTTACTCTTTCATCTTTACTGCATGTATCTTTCTCCTTCTTCTGCATGTTTTTTTCTAAGTCAGGCATTCCTGCATTTCTTTTGGTATCTTTCGTTGAGGACAGAAATTGAAGTCACTTGGGGGTACTTAGGGAGCCTGATGCCTCAGTTCTGGAAATAGAAAAGATTTAAAGTCCTGTCAGTACTCATTATTTATAACCAAAATGTACGAGGGGAGTATTCCCTGTGCAAACACACACAGAAGCTTCAGAATGTAAACCTGAAGAGAAATAGAAGTACAACATTCAAAGTAGCTAAACTGAGCCCTGTGGAGATTGCTCTGACATTCTGTTTGTCTCATTTTGCTATAAATTTATTTATTCAGAACTATCTGATGCTCATAAAAGGTCCCTTCTCAGCATGGTTTATTTTGTCACTGTAATTTACTTTGCAATTTATTGTGGCATAATCTGCATGCTTTGTATTACTGTTATATGTTAGCTGGAGGAAACAGGGGACTTTTCTTTGAATGTACTTATGTAGACACAAGTAATAGTCATGTTGCAGTTTTCTATATTAGAATCTTATATTTCCTTCCCTTACCATTTTATATGAAAGCACCACAGCGTTTAAATGTATTTTTCATGGCATTGCTCCATGGGTACAGTGAGGTGCTGTGCTAGAAGATGGAAAAAGGAGCTTGATGGAGATGTGCCTTTTCCCTCTGCAGCCTAAATCTCACCGGGTACCAGTGCTTTGGGGCATGGGTCTGGGGGACCCTGTGAGCCTGCCTGTGAAGGCTGTGGGAGGACTGACAGGGGTGCTGTACCCTGTGTTTGAGCTGTTTTGTAGAGCAGTCTTTCAAATAGCATATACTTATCCACGGAGATGGCTTAACCTGCTAAAAGTCACAGAAGTAATCTGTGACAGAGCAAGTACTTCCACTCGTGTCTCTCTGGTACTGTGCTTATCCTGGTTTCACTTCTAAAGATGCTTCTTCACTCCTTTTCTGTGCAGGAATAGGCTATCTGACACGCATATTTCTTCTGATCTACTAGTGATCACACCAAGTATGGTCCTTCAATTCTGACAGTACATAAGTACAGCTAAAGCAGAGGGAATTTTTTGTGTTCAGTCAGGTCTTGATGGATTAGAGGTTTTTTGGTTTTCTTTTAATTACTTTGCACTGTGTGTATGCAAAATATAAAATACAGCATGTGTTGACTATGTAGAAAATAATATTTTTCTGTAATCTTTGGAATTATTACATTCAGGGCACTGAAATTATTTCTACAACAGCTTTTAAGAACAATTGGGATTATACTCTACAGTGCATGAAAGTGAGTTGAAGAGTTTTGTTTAGCAATAGGCAGAGATGGCTGTGGATTATTCCTCTGCTGAGGAATTAGCTTGGCTTTTGCAGCCTTGCAGCTTCAGCATGGCTCTGCCAATGTGTATGTGGTCACTGACACCTTGTGTTGATCCCGTCCTGCACTGGCTGTCAGTGGGGCCATGTGCTGTGGAATAGGTTGTATAAGGTTGAGAGATGTCCCTGGGGCCCTGCAATGAGCCACACAGCAAACTCGTGTTGATCTGTCATCTGCTTACAATTTCAACCCAGGTGAGAGATAATGTCCCTCAAGGAAAGGCCACACTAACTCGCTGCACTGCTCTACTCTCCCTTGTGTGCTGCTCAGGGTTCATCACTTAGCTGTGCACTCTATTTCTAAAACACAGGTTCAAAGCACCTCAAATAATGCACATCCTGTAACTCTTGGCAGACTGTTGGCTAGCCCAGTTATGGGCTGACCTCAGCCCCCCACCTGCATTCAGAATACAGAGCAGCCATTTTGTCTTTAGAGCCCCTCAAACTGTACTCCCTTAAAGGAAAAATCCTGCTGGTATTCTTTTTGCTGGGAATTTTGTTCTTTCTTTCCTTATGCTTTTTTGTCAAACTGCAATATGGTGTCACGCTGACTAAAAGTCTATATTGGCTCAGTGTCTCTGGGAAGTGCTACTACTAACAGCCCTGCATATCTGTAAAAACAGTGTGATAAAGAGTTTGGAGGTGGTAGCCTAAACTGTGCTTTTCTCTGTTGCGGGGATGAACCCAGGCTTTGTCTCTGGTTCAAGTGCTGACAGCTTAGCATCACACCCAATCCTGTATTTGCTTAATAAAAGACAAGAAAACTGACACAGGAGAAAATCCTGCAGAAATTCAAGATGACTTCAAAGTTGCTCTCTAGAAAGCTGTGAGGTACATTGTCAAATTATTAGGCAAAATAAGAAAAAAAATAATCCTAGCTGTTTTTATTTACAGCTGGCTTAGCTGGAGGGCCAGGGTGAGCGGCTTAGCACAGTGCCTGCGAGTCACAGCAGGCTGGGGAGCCGGGTGGCCTTCCCCACAGCTCAAAGCAGCAACTCAAATCCATAACAAAAGGCACTGATCTCTCCGTTAGCAGATAGCAGAGGAGGACTAAAATAAGCCCATGTGCTTATACTTGAGTTCTCCTGACACGATGGACTCAGGAGGCAGCTTGCAGTATATGGTGTTGTTGGGGCAATACATTCAGTCCCCATCCATTCATCCTCACTCTCAGTGTTATCAGGAGGATAAGCTTTAAAGTTTTCAGGAACCTGTGCCTGAAGTTAAGGAATGAATGCGTTGTCAGGAGTACACGTGTGAAGCGCGCACTGCCGCGGCAGTGGACATGGCGAGC